TATGTCCCCGATGGACGAAGCTGTAGCATATGGAATCGCTGCATTTCGGTGAACGGCTTGTGGGCTGAAAAACTAAACTGAACCGATCAAAAGCCCATAAACTTAGGAGGGCGAGAGTGAGTATTCCATGATCAAATGAGTGGCGAAGTTTAAGAACAAGGGTGAGATAAAACAATCTTGTCTGATACAACCTACTGTAGTGAACTCGGGCGAGATCCTTCACGTGTCCACGAGAGTTGGCGCGCAGCGCTTTAGGGAGGTTCAAGAATTTATGGGGGACACCTCTGCCGCATAAACACTGCAATAGTCCCTGATGGCCCATAGAATCAAAGACAGCTTTCAATTCAAGAAGGGCTACCATTTTTAGTTGCTGGAAACAGTATAGCTTTTCCAGAATCGGTCGGGTTGTGAAAATGTAATGGCTGCATCTTGCGGGACGGAACCTATCTCAGTGTTAACGGATATGCCCTTCTTTCTATTCAGTTAACTTTTGAAGGACAACTTCAGCTAGTACCGTGCCACAGCTACCGGGCTTATGCTGCGGTGGCTTCCATCCCTTTTGGAGGTGTGAATCACTATCGATATGCCCTATTCTATGAAAATCCCTTCACTCCATATTGAGCCAGTGGATTTTGTCGGATGGGAAACATAAATTCGCCCCCGTCCTCTCCCGATTCGTTGTCGCGTTTCAGCAGAGCTGCTTCACCTTTTATTCCTGACGAGCGAAGATTTATACTCCATCTGCATATGTTCTCTTTATTCATGGGTTGTGTTGTAAGAAAAGCATTTCCCCTGAGCTTTCATTCTCCATCAAAGCTCTCCGTCTTTCCTTAATCTCTTCACTTTTTCGCATTTGAAGGATTTGCGTGCGTCATCATACCTGTTACCTGTTGATATGGATTTCCTGGCATCAGTCAGGACTGGTGATCTGGAAGGTATCAGTCATCAGTTGATCGTATCGAAGTTGTCGAACGGACAGCTTTGAATGCCGCTGGTGTAGTTTTCTTACATTCTGCCATGTATCACCCAGTGCTGTTTTGGTTTGCTCCAGAGAATAGTTGGGCTAGCTCGCAACGTTGCTGCTGAGTTATGTCAGTTCTTCGAAGAATGTGGCTCGGTATGTCTGAAGGAAAGTGAACAGTCAGGATCACTCACTACGACGTGGTCAGAATCAAGTTTTATGTCCCATATTGAATAGCAGTCTGGAATTGCGGTTTCGCCGATTGCTGATAGCCACGTGATCCGGTTGGGTTCAAGGTCCATTTGCATTTAGTGACAGCCAGGCTACCTGGTGGGGGCGTTTGTGTTGAAAGTTTGCATTAGCCAGAATTATTTGGTGTTCAGCACACAGCTAGATAGGTCGCTCCATGTTGTCTGTGCGACGACCATCGAATCCGAATCGACCGCCATATGTGATTCCAAAGATCTCAGCCGACTGAATTGGACATTCATTTTACCTGCGAGTACGACGTCAGTGTCTCTTGCTTGACGATTGAGCCCAGATAAGTCTTTGGAATGTATCGTTCTCAGCATCAGAATTTCAGCCTATTGAGGCACTACAAACAGGCACCGGCTGTCTCTAATAGCATTGAGCTTGACTGAACCGGTAACTGCGCGCACAAAAACGGCTTCACTCGAATTCATTCAAAGCGCGTTCAGCGCTGGGACTGAGTACAAATCCCACGCTATACATCCCACGAGTCGCCGTTTATGGATCCATCGACACCTTATCGTGAAATGTGAGAAACCATCCCACGCTATACATCCCACGAGTCGCCGTTTATGGATCCATCGACACCTTATCGTGAAATGTGAGAAACCTGAATTCGTCCGTGACGCTGCATTATCACGCCTTAGTCTTGTGTGTGTGTGTGTCTCAGAGCCACAGCATGTATCAATCCTGAGGAAGTATAAGTTCGAGGCCAGCGTCGCCTATCTGCCAATTTGGCGCTAACTACCGATTTTGGAAGTTCTTATGTAGAGATCTTGTGGATATAGAAAAGCGTTATTTTTCTTAGTGTAGTGTGTAAAATACCGGTCAGTTGACTGACAGTCAAAGGATCCAGCAGTATTTGTTTGTAGGGTTGGAAGAGGTTGAAGAAGGACCGGTAGACTAAGATCCTTGAGGTCAGCTAATATCTCCCAGTTACTCAGGTTGAGGAAGATGATTAGTTGAAGTACCTTGCCTGGGTCCTTTGACTCAAAAGTCGAACCCGTGAGGCGATGTGTAGTAGGGTTTTTTGGAATACTTCTCCGAGCGGCTAACTTGTCCGGCCGCAGGAGGTCGACCTAACCCGAAGGCACAGTCAATAAGACATGGATATCCCGGTCCTGTTGCTGCCGCACAGATGTATTTGAAACCACATCGAACTCATGGTAAGGTATAGTTATTTTTTGACCGTATTAGATGGCTCACTGGTTGTTATGGCCAATCACTAAACGATGTGAGTGTGAGATTTTAAAGGCCCATCTTTTCTAACCCGTCCTTCCTGGGAAGGAGGCAGCATCGCTGCCATGAGTAGGAACACGCTAATCGTCTGGGGGAACATCTTTTTGTCTGCACACTCCTACCACAGAAGACTTTATAACTCTACCTCCAGACCGCTTCGTAATACGGACAGTCGCATTACGGCCTTTCGCTGCTCCTGGTTCACTGCCATACAGCCGTGATTTATTCGAAAGCCTTATTATGAAGAAACGAATAAAATTAGACGACGAAAGGACTACAATCGTTCCGACCTGCTTACACCACTAGACATTCATTCAGGTGATGTGGATGAAAACTGACAACAAAACGTCACTGATATCCTGCAGCATCTCAAACCAGGGTCAATGGGGATCACGCGATCCCCATCCTGGAAGGCGAGTAGCGTCGACAGCATCCAAACATTTCGTAGTGTTTTTCAGACGTCTCTGCCGGATCAGGGATTGGTCATCTCTCTTCTTCCGCCACCCGGTGAATAACAATAAAGAGCGTCTAAATCTCAGCTAGATCCTGATCAAACCAGAGGAGCGAACTGACTGTGTTTACAAGATGAATGCTCCAACTATGAATGCGTCTTCATCTGGCTAACCATTGAACATCTGTAGGTTCGGATCAGTGAATGTGAGTGATGCTTCCACGCTACTCCGAGAAACTTTAGTGAATTGAACAAAACAGAGTGATGGTTAGTGACTATCCTGTGCGTTAGCTTAGGACCGCTGGGTAACTTCTGACGGCGTGTACATCTTACAAATCGTGATTTGAATTTACTGTGACTGTGTGTTGAACGCATAGACTTCCACATGACCTCCGCACCATATCAAAATGTCCGGCAGCGTTGGGTTACCGGCTACCTGGTCTTATCTTCTACGCGCAAATGTGGGTCGAGCTCGTAACCTAACAAATGGACGTCATGTCCGGAAACTTTATCCGTTGATCTTTTAACATACGCGCACATAATCCACACGCTTCAACTCCAACCTATTGCAACTCATGTGACATCACTGAATCTGGTATTGCCCTTATGCTTTTCTAGTTCACAAATATGCCAATTGCTGCTCATAAAGGACTGCTGTATGTGATTGAAAAGTTTGGTTATTTCGTCTGATGAATTCGCTGTGTAGATTGGTTTAGTTTCACTGTGGACTAACATCCCGCCTCTTTCAAATCCTCGGAACTCATTTCAGAGAAGATACATCAAATATTTTAAAATCACTTGAAATCCAAGCACTCAGTGCTAGGTATGATGCTTATCGAATGTTAGCAAGCTATTAAGTTTGGGAATAATTTCTAATTTGCTCCTCTCTGCCCACCCTCAATCGTTTACCGACATCGTCATGATCTTGGACGTGCAGTCACTGAATACGCCATTTACAATCCACGGGGAGGTACTGGAAGTTGTGGAGCGTTTTACGTACTTTGGGTGTTGTATTTGTTCCAGCTGTAGTGTGACAGATGAGGTGAATGTACGAATCTGCAAGGCTCGGGTCGCATTTGCTAATTTGAGACACCTATGGTGTTTGAATGGTTTATCCCTGAATCTGAAGGGGCGTGTGTATCAAGCTAGAGTGCGGGCTGCTTTATTGTGTGCCTGTGAGACTTGGCCAGTTTGGGCAGCGGAATTGAGACTTCTTCAGGTGTTCGACAATCGTTGTCACAGAACCATAGCTCGTGTGGTTTGGTGTCGGCGAATCCGTAACGAGGCAGTTAGAAAGCGCGTTTTCGGTTGTGCAACGGGTACTTCCATTGAAGAATATGTCCAGCACCAGAAGCTGCGTTGGTTGGGATATGTGTTATGTATGCCGAACCATCGTTTGCCGAAGAGATTGCTGTTTTTCATGCCCAATTCAGAGTGGCGTAAACAGGGAGGTGGCTAACCCTTGACGTTGAAGAGGAGTATAAAGGAGATCACGAAACACTTGGGTGCTGTCAGTGCTACTCGCCTTCCAGGATGGGGACCGCGTGATCCCCACTGCGCCTGGTTGGAGACACTACAAGATATGACTGCCAACCGATGTCAGTGGCGTTCTTGTTGTCAGTTTCTATCCATATCGCCTGAGTGTGTCTGTAGGTATAGGCACCTTAGGATGATTGTGGTAAGCTAGCATAAACTCTCTCCCCCGTCCATCTTTACTCTTTTCTATAAGGCTTTCAAATAAATCATGGTTGTACGGCAGTGAGGCATAGGTGTTGAACACTGATGTCATGCTGTCGATGATGATGATGATGATTACCGACATTCTGTGCGAAATCACTGGGTTAGACCAGATATACTAGTGTTTGCGATCTACTGGTTACAGTCCAGTTCCGGACGGTTAGCTAGTCTGAGGGATTACCGACATTCTGTGCGAAATCACTGGTTTAGACCAGATATACTAGTGTTTGCGACCTACTGGTTCCAGTCCAGTTCCGGACTGTTAGCTAGTCTGAGCTTGTTAGCCAATATAGAGCAGACAAACGATGGTCTTGTGTCACTAGGAATCAAATCCACTCATTGATCCTTGTTATTGTGTGACAGTGAGGGTCCAGTGTTGTTGTCGATAACAACATGGACAACCCACAGTGATCCACATTTATCTCTTTTCTAGGAGGCTCCTCATGACATCTAATCAGCTTTTCCTTGAGCAGGAAAACAATCGAAGAGCCGAAGAACTTTCGCACAAAGTTTCATTACTAAAGTCTGTAAGTTGTTCGTTCAGTGAGTACATCAACCAACAAACTTCTCTCCTGGGCGTTTGATTCAGTGTACTGTGTTTGCGCTATTCGTTTTTGAGAGGGTAAAAACTATTTAAGTCAACCAGAACAATTTAGGTAATCTCACTAGGTATGTTATTATGGTCACATGTCAAACTAACCGAAATGTGCTTTAGGAGTAAAGATTAAACGTCCGCAACATTGGATGTGATATAAACTCCTTTCTCCTCACGCGCAAAAATTTTGGACATACGGAAAAATAATCCGTTGTCAAATATTCCTGTTACCGAGCGCAAGACGAGTACAGCTACCCATGTCAGTCCGATCCAGTCGTACTTCCTTAGACTAACGTTCCCAGTTTAAAGCATGGCTAATTTTAACGGCCACATCATCTCACCCGGCGTGGTTGTATTTGATGTAATTCCGCGCTGTCTACCTCTGTACTGAAAGTACATATGTTCAATGACTAGTGTGTTAGATTTATCTAATAAATAGCACTGACTCATGGAACTCCTTCGAGTCCCTTTTTGACGTACCTTTAATTCCATTTTCTAACTACCATATCTTTGTAAGGAGATTTTATTTTTTTTTAATAGATGCAATTGATGCGAATTTTGTGACTTGGTCCATTGAGTCATGGTGGTTTGCGAACCTCTTGGACTAGCCTATCGGTCAGGCATGTGCTGGGTTTCACCATCACCTGCCTTGCTGGGGTTAGGCTCCATCCATTTTTAACTGAGAATTGCATCTGCTTTACTTACCTTACCTACTGTATCCTGCTCCCGTTTTATTCAGTTCGCGAAAGACATTGAAAATGAAACCAAGGAGCAAAATACCTTTTTGGATCAAATGCAAAACTCCTTCGATACCGCTGGCGGCTTACTCTCCAATACACTGGTCCAGGTGTTTGGGATACCCAAGCATCGCACCAAAAACCGTAAATTTATGTGCTATGCGGTCCTGGTGATGGTGCTCCTGATTGTGGTGGCTTACTTCACCATTTTTCGTTCGTCAAACTAATCGGCGCCTCTTATTTCAGAATTTTCCTGTATCTCTAGTTGATTCGCGCATTCGGGATCTAGGCTTCGGCCTAACAAACTCAGCTGTTCACATACTTGAATAAGCATGCTCTACAACGTACCGCATATTGTTCAGTTCTTCTGTATCATTGCAAACAGTCTTCATTCAGATCCGGTTGTCCTTTGATCTTCACTTGATGTACACAAAACTATCATTCTATCTGTGATAGACTGCCTAAAGCAGGGATGTATCATTGGTTGTCCCTCATTGTAAAAGCATGTGATTATTGCGAGCGTTTTTCGTTGATTTCTTGTGAATATTTGATCCTCAGTGTTCAAAATTTGTTTTTGCTACTAGTTCTGGGTAGAAACTATCAGAGTCGATTGCTGGATAAGGGTCTACGAAATAGTTTCAGTGCGCCCACTAGCCATTTGCCAGTTTTTGTTGTAACAAGTTAGGCATGGGAAAAATCAGCTATGTGAGAATTCCAGGTTTGTACAGCTTAATGATATATGTTAACTTACAAAGCGTTTTGTCCCATGGTAGATCTTATTTTCTAGGACTCTAATATCACTTATCTTATCTTGCTTTTGGAACTTTGCGATATCAGTTGATATCAATGCCCTCTTCTTGACGTACTCACTGTTTTTAAGAAAAAATTCCTTTTGATCGAACCGTCATTCACTGTTGCTTCAGACTTAGCCAATCTTGAACGATAGGCATTCGCGTCTCTGTGTACGCTCTACATCCGTGCTAATGCTCGAGATCAATGAACCTTGCTTCACACCAGTTGAGTAATTGGTCTGAGGTATATTCAACCAGCATGTGACTCGGAAAAATTGAGCCTTTTCACTGGAGCACAGTGCTTTGTTCCACGCGAGGGTGCGTCAATTGGTTTCGTGCTGAGACTGTTTGAGGATAAATAGATGTCGCACTTTTCTGGATTAGGCAGAGGATTCACCTTTTACTATATAGGGTGAGATTTTTTTAAATATCTCGAAAACATGGCGACGTAAAAAATTACCCTTCAAATCTGAACGTAACACTTATCGACAAGTACAGAAAACCAGGTGGTCTCTCAGGTGGCAATGTATGTACTACTGAGCAGAGTGGAATGTACTGCCATAAAAGGTGACCATTTCGGAGTAGAAGCAACCTAACTTTCATATTCTCGAAAAAGTTTGAACCTGGAGATTTCGTTATCTTGTTAGGTTTGTTCGGCCTTATTTGGCTTTTGCAGTAGAGTGTGACACGAGGACCGCTCATGAGTCCGGAACCATACCAATCGTAGTTTATATACATACAGTTATTTGTATCTGTTGAACTATTTGTGCTAGTTTTCGTTAGAGAAGTTTTTCTCCAAAATGGCGAGATTTACTTGAGTATTGTTCGTGCTACTGTCAGAATAGAGTAGAAGGTCTGTGCAATACCCTTGGAAATGTCAACTCAAAGGCGATTTCAAGTTACGGAACTTGAGGCGTGCCCGTTATACGAACCAGTCGTTCACTCCTGTCCTGGTTACCTCGCGCTTTCTATTCGTGTCATAACCGCAATTTTTCATTCGATGTCATGCAATAGCAAGACTTAAGGAATACGGTGTAAGGCAAGGTGTATCCATCTTCATTTTCGAGACTGAAAACTACATCGGCTGGTACTCTGGCCATCAGTAGCCATAGGGTTCGTTGGTAAGGTATGCTGCGAGATGGCCGAAGTGGTTAGTGCGCGGATTACTAACCTGAAGGTCCGCGGTTCGAATCCGACCTCCGCCACTCGACTTCCCCTGTCTAGGCTTGGGCAACCTGGCAGTATCCCAGCCCTCGT